CAGAGCAAGAACGAGGAGTAACATACATGATGTATCCGTGAAGGCTGAAGGTTACAGCTACTGAGAGTTTTCTATAGAGTCAGTGGAGAACATAGATAAGAAGGCAGATCATGTAATAAGGCTTTATAAAGAAAGATACAACAATGTTCCAACCTTCTATTGTATAACAAAGACAAGCCTACTTTCTCATACAAGACACAATGATGTGTGCAGAAACCCAAACCAGAGACAAAACACAAGGCAGCATTGTACATTGAGTCCCACATTTTCAGTGATGATGAGGAGATAGCATGCATATAAAGAATGTCATCGTAATCAAATACTGATAAAAATATTATTAATATATATTAGTAGTATCATTCCTTTCAACAAAAGTAAAAATGATTTGTTTTTAGAATAAAACCAATTTTACCCTTCGTTTTTTAACTCTCGATATGATGACTAAATGACAGATTTGATATGTTGAGACTCATTCAATCAACTCATTGAATAAACAACAGCACCAAATATTGCATAACAACAAAACTGTACTAAATAACATTTTCCTTCACCTACTTATAAATAATGTTTTAATGTTTTTAATTATTAAGACCTCCTTCAAAATGGCAACATTCTCAAGCTAGAATCTGTTCCAAAAGTCAGCACTGAACTGGGGGAAAAGGCGTTTGCTGCTACCTTTACTTGGAACTAGTTAGAAAAATAGCTTAAAACATAAAGAGCTGCTCTCGTTGGATGCTTTTAAGGGGATGTTAAATGACTTGGAGGCAGACACATGTGGCTGTAGATGTTCTCCCTGATGTGTTTTTTTTTTTTGGATGATCTTGACAAAGCGTGCAGTTTAAATTTATATTTTGTGTATTTTAATGTCTAATGTATTTTTCTGTAATTATACTTGGCTGCACGTTTTTTTGTGTGAAACTGTAAATTGTGCTGCTTCCTGTCTTGGTCAGGACACTCTTGAAAAAGGTATTTTTTAATTTCAACAAGTTTCTTTCCTGGTTAAACAAAGGTTAAATAAATAAAACAATATGCCCTTGAATTATGTACTATTCTGAAAATATGTGCCAAAATAGCTGGAGAGCTAAAGCAAAGGTTTTTATTGGAACCAGGGACATACTCTTTAACATAAATGCGAGTTTGGAGTTGATATGTCCCAGAAATTGGGCAATCCTTTCGACTGTGCCAAAGCAAAGTTTCATATCATCATTGGAATCTCCATGAGAAACCCATTCACATGATGTGACACTCTGCTATGAAAAGTTGTTATTCTTTGTATGTCTTCAGATTGCCTGATGGTTTCTGTCCAGGTGTGTGCCAATAGGGAAGACCTGGTCTGAGCAGCAAAACAGAGAGAAACAAACAGAAACAGAGAGAGGGAGGGAGGAATCGGGGAATGCCTTGAGTCTCTTGCCTCCAAGTGTTTAGAGCAAAAGTTGTTGTAGCAACAGGAATGTGAGCTTGTCTCGCTCTCCATCAGAGGTTGGTCGCGTGCATACCTGAGGGACTCCCTCTCCTTCCATCTCCCATCACAGTCGAAACTCTGCAGTCATTTCATCACACACAGATGGATGTCTAGAATTGTTCTCAATCCTACTTGGGCACATATACAGGGTGAGCATGAATTCAGTGGACACTGAAATGCATACACATTTAGTATGCCTATATGTTGCAGTTAACATTTCAGATTGGCTTTAAGAGTCTGCAGCTAAGGATATATTTCCACAAGGAATTCATCTGTTGTAACTTTTTTCTTATTATTATTTTATCTATCAATGAATCTGTTGTATCTATTCTAATAATTATGCTGACTGCCCAGCCTGTAAACTATCTGAGAATAGGGAAAATCATAGTTTCACAGAGCCATAAATAATGTCTTTTTTTGTCCAGCCAAAAAAAAAAACATTAGTCAAATAATTGATTATTAAATGCATCACCTCAACACGCATGGATTTAGCTCTCTTGATCAAAAGAGCATCATAAAAAAATCAAAGGATTATGTCAAATCACCTCTCAGTTTTTCACTTCCTCTCCAACTCTCTGTTTCATATCTCCCAATCTGCTTTCCTCTCCATAACCCACAGCTAGTCTCACTGAAAGTTGATCATTTACAGCAACCAGAGCAGATAAAGAAAACATCCGTACAGAGATGTTTCAGATAAAGCTGCACTACAATCATCAGCCTCTTCACCCCGAGAGCATATCTCTTATTGAACATCTTCCAGCTGTGACTGAAGGATTTCCTCGTGGCCTGAAATCAGAGCATTCGCCCATTGAGACAGAAAGGCATGTGGAGAATGTGCGTACAAAATTGAGTGACGCTATAGATGAGACATTGAAACAGTGAGTGGGGATTGCATTAGGTAATACCACTTAACTGTATTTGTTTTTGTCCCGGAACTACTTGACTGTTTTCCATCACAATCTACATGAATCAAAAAATGTTATACAGATGAGTGCACAGAACTCAAAGAAAATACATGATATATTTTCCTATATGCAAATACTTGAAGTTACATTCATTTTAAGCGTGTTTTGTAAATTCAGTTATTTTCAGCACACGATCGATGTCAGTCATTTTTATTTCAGTCCTTACTTTCTATATTTAGCTGCTGTTTGCAACACATGAACACAGTGACTCACTCAACCATGAATAAATACTTACGTTGACTCAGATACATAATCTACGTGGGCCCGTCTATGCTCGTGTTTTGGTGTGTGATGACGGGGATGTGCTTGCATCACGCATGTGCTGTGTGCGTATGAGTCCAGTACAGCCTTTGTGCAGTGATAAACCTGAAAATCTCTGTCTGACACTATGCTGTATTGTACAACAGGTTGAGCTGAGGTGTGCTAACCCTGGGAAAGAGCAGGAAGGCAGCCAGTCAGACTGGTAGAGTCAGCTGAGAAAAGGCTCTCAAAAAGGACTAAGTGGCTACTGTATCTGAGAATTTTAATGACACACAAGCACAGAGCTGGTTCAGAAGTGGCCTCCTCTGATGATACAAAACAACATGGGCCCTTTACCTCTGCCTACCTCACAGCTAAACACGTGTTTCTCAGCTCTTCTCTGCGAGTTATGAGGATGAAAAAAAGAAGACATTTTGCGAAATACAAATAAAGCAGTTGTCACTTCCAGAGCATTTGGGTGGAGCAGGCAGAGCTCTGATCTTGCGACTGGCATGAGTTTCGATGTATCGCTTTGTGTTCTTGATTCGAAGATTGTACTGTTTGGCCGGTTTTCTTCCTCTGGATTACAAAACTGTGATTACAGTTGCAGAAACTCAGCTATGATTAGCCTTCAGGAATGCAGAAAGGAATTTGATAGTTACTGGCTATTTTATTTCTATTTTTGTTGAATGTTTTGTTTTGTTTATTGGCATACCAGACAGACATACAGAAGAATATGCAGATTTGCACACACACACACACACACACACACACACACACACACACACAAACACACACACAGATTTGGTCGACTTAAATCATCCAAGGAAGAGAAGAACATAAACTAAACTGTACTCATCATGAGGACCTTTTAATTATAAAACAGACCTTGATCCTACACCACACCTCTGAATACCTTAGTTAACCAGCTTTCACAATTGTTTTACTTTATTTCCTTGTACAGTAGACATTAAGAGAAGACCTGCATCATTTACTGAGTCCTTACACGTTTTGTGGACCCTTCAATAAACCAACAGAAACACCTCCAACAGTCCCACTAAGGTATTCTAAAGTTACTGTAAAAACCCATTTCCAAATTTTTTCAAAACTTGGCATGCAATATATATTAGGTTCCGAGACACAATTACAGCTTTAAAATGTCACTGTTAGTCACAGAAAGTTTAAAAAAAAAGCCTTATTTCTAGCAGATTATTTAGTGTAATATCATAAGAGTATCTTATAATAGAGTGGTGTTCCCATTAACCCTTTTACACGGTCCCTGAATGTTTTATGCACTGTTGCATTAACCTGTAATTCAGCCTTTTACTTCTTTAGGTTCACAGAGTTACAGAAAAGGTGGTATGAAACTTTGATATTTACACATTTAAAATATGACCAGTTTAATGTCCTGAGGACGTAGCAGGGTTAAGAAAAGCCCAATATTATGTGTCAGTGCATTCTGCTGTTTGACCACTAGATGGTGCTAAATGTAATTCTTAAACATCTGACTATGACTTTTGTTCAGCAAATCTGGTAAAACTTCAGCAGTAAGAGATCATATTAGTTGTCAGGGCTGGAAGTTGCACGGAACACTTTATTTGGTACATTTGAATGATTTTATGGGTGGATCAGTCTGTAATCATTTAAGGGTGATCACTTGTTTTACATCTACTGTAAATATGTTCAGGATCATGAATCTGTCACCTCCTGTTATTCCTTCTGATAGATCACCCAAATAAAGGGAGATCGAATTTAATGTGAACAATTGACCGAGAATCTGCTTCATGATTTGCCAAACATCCCAACAACAAAAAAACATTTGTATCTTAAGGCAGAACTAGAATATGTGGTGGTCTGCCTCATCACTCCCGCAGTCTCTCCAACATGCACAGCTTTCAGATACCAGAACATCTCACAGAATTTGCGGAAACAATATGCTTCAAAGTTACATCGGATAAAAAAAAAAAAAATCGTATTGGTGGACATAGATTTCACAAAACATGAGAAGATAAAAAATAAGGTTTATTAATTTTACGCCATCTATAAGAATAAACACAAACACTTTTTTTTATTTGAATACTTTGCATTTTTAGAAATAAATGGAAATAATGATAATAATGTAGGCTATGTGATCTTTCATTTAGTGTTGTGAAATGTGGTTTATTTCTTAGTCGTGACATGTTTTCACTGCAGAAGTTGACACTGAATAAGTGAATTGGTGTTTAAAAGAATGCAGCAAATCAAATCGCAAATCGCAGGTAAGTTGTAAGTTGCCCTCCCTGTCAAGAGAGGGCGCTACCGGGGGGGAAATGTGACAGGCGCAGGTATGTCGTAGAAGAAGACGAGAGCTACAGCGTAGCATCGAAGAAGAAGAAGAAGAAGACATCTGTAGAGTCATGTAATCACAACCAAGACCAAGGTTATACGGATGATACTGCAGACAAATATGAACAGCATTTGACAGTTATCATCTTATCTCGGTAAGGAAAATGGCCTCACGGCTTGTTTTGTTGCCACAGTTTTTGTTGTCTGTCACAGAAACGACACACCGGCATGAAGCGTGAAGCTAACTGAGCTCAGTGTGAGGTCAAGAGAAGCTCACTTCACTCATTCGCATGTTTACACCTTGCTGCATTTTGGTCTGCATGTAGTGTTTTAAGGATGTGTATGGCCTTTAAAACAGCGCTATCCTCCGTCCACATAATGACACCACGGCGTGGGTCAGCACTCAGGTATTGAGGCTCGTGTCGTGACGTCATCAGGTGTCTCATGGTTTACTAGATTATTCTGCTTGGTGGAGCCGGCTGTGGGGTGACCTCCCGTCTAAAAAGGGGGGGGGGGGGTTCTGTGTTTTAGCTAGTCGTGGAGGGGCTTTGTTGATGAACTGTTGTGTTAAGGGTTAAACATTGGCAGATACGCTTTAGAAGCAGGGGCCCCTCGTCAATCCTCAATGTGGCCCTCAGGTCAACTTTTACACATCAAAACATGAAGAAAACATGATAAAATCTGCCATGATATCATGAAAACCAGAAATATGTCCATAATAATATTTGATCACTGGTAGATGTTGAGTTAAATTTGAGACATGATTGACTGTAATCGTTTTTTGTATCCTACAATTTGGCCCCCCTGGCAATGAGAACTAAATGAATGTGGCCCTTTGCTGTGACCAAAGTTGCCCATCCCTGCTTTAGAGTAAAAAAAGCAGTACTACTATGCGCACATACATACAGAGCTATCACCTTTGACACCTAGATGATCTCTGCTCTCTCCTGATTTCAGCCTAGGTTGCGATGAGTGTCCCCTGCTTCCTGTCCTCTGCTGCCCGAAGCTTCAGCCTGCCGTGTCCCGCAGCAGGTCTGCTCTACAGCCGGTTACTCGGCCCCAGCTCAGTAACAAGGTGAGGTTCATGTGGTATGTCCCGGTGTTGTCTCTATTGGTTTCCGCACTCACTTGTTTGTATTTGGGCAGAAACTGCTGTTTGACTTGCGGCAGCAGACGTCGTCTTGTCTCTGTTTTCAGATTCGCCACAATTCACAAACATTTCTGACAATTTTTAGCTCTCATCTCATGGACTTCACTGAAACTGACTGGGGGAAAATGTATGAAAATAAATATTAAGCAACTTATGTAGTTAGTACAGCAAAATATTACGACACTACTCTACTTGCAAGATGTTCATTTTCTTACATTTTTTTTTTTTTGTATGTGGCTGTAGTGGAGTGCTCACTGTTACAATCATTATTCCACAGAATTTTAATAACATTTCCAGAAATATGTTTGTGAGGGAGTTAAGAATCTGATTACAAAGGCAGAAAGTCATTATTTCTGTGCAGTAAACCTGACAAACACAAGCTGGTGGAAACCAGTTGGGACATCACTCTGGCTCTGTTTGTTGTGATCTGCGGTTGTGGCTGCTCACTCCTGAAGCGCTGTGGAGACTGATGACAAACTACAAGACGATGTAATCTAGTGAAAATTCATCGTCAGATCTACTGCACAGCAGGTCTCAAAGAGTTTGTAATTCAAGGATCACTACAAGTCAATTACAGATTAAAAACCCAGATTTCCTACATATTAACACAGGTTGTTTGTGCTTTACACATTTTGTTCTTACCACGTTCAATGTAGTGTTTTGAATTCTTGAGCACTGCGAACAAAAAGCTGTTTGCCTCTGTTATATCGGAACAATAGGTAAAGTGTCAATGGCCTACAATCCCAAATGAAAGCACATAGAACCAAACGTTCTGGATGGCAAGACACAACCAGGTGCCGTGTGATTGAGTGGAACTGTCTCTTTAAATGTTCTCATTATGACCATGAGGGCAAAGTCCGCCTGCTGTTTTGGAGTTTTTTTTGTAACATAGCACTGCTTCGTAGATCTCACTTATTGAATTAGAGATTCTCTGAATGAAGTGACAAAATCTTCCTCCTCCTCCTTTTTAGAAGAAGTATGTCGTCTAAGCGGCAGATGGATCATCTAGAGAGAACAGCAAAAGACTCCAGACAAAATGTAAGTACATGTAATGTGTTTAAATGTATCCACCCTCTCCATATGATCTATCGCTTATAGTCCATGCCAAGTGCTAACCTCAGTTCTTCTCCTCTGTTTGTGTGTTTGTGTGTATCATGTGCCTGACTGGCGGCATAACACAGGCTCTTTATCCGGCTCAAGTGTGTGGCATCATAAACGAATCGGAGACGGTGAAGCGCTTGAGAATAGCTGTCCCCCCAGACTTTAGCTTCAAGGCTGGCCAGTGGTAGGTAGATACTAATGTTAAATGGAGGCTGTGGCTCAGTTGGTAGAGTCATCGCCTTTCAACCGAGAGGTCGAGGGTTTGATCCCCAGCTGAGCAGCATATCTGATGTGTCCTTGGGCAAGACACTTAACCCTGCATTGCTTGCTTCGGTGGCAGTGTATGACTGGGTTTAGTGTTGTACTTAATCTCTGATGTACGTCGCTTTGGATAAAAGCGTCTGCTAAGTGAATTGTAACATTGTAAATGCTAAACACGTCGTATACCTTGGGCATAGTCTGTCTGTGGTAGTTTAGTTCATCACTAGAAAAATAGTCTGTAACAACGGTATTTGGCACCACAATGTACATTCACACAAGTTGTAAAGCAACAGATTAAGCACACATGTACATACACTAAACTCTCAGATCATGAGTCAAGATTTTGAAGATTTTTGAACTGTGAATGTTATAGATCCTCAGCTTAAGAAATGTCTTTATGAACACTATTGGATTTCTTGTGTCACAGAATGCAGCATTCAGTTAGTGATGAATATAAACAAACTTGTTTCGTCGTATGCTCCTCTGGTTTATTTTCCAACTGCTGTAGTGCTCACAGTAACCACAAGGGGGTGGCATTGTCATTGATTTGTCCTGCTGTTGATGTGCTTGTTTTCTTTCCTCACACGCTTTTCTTGGAGAACAATTTACAATTTCGAAATGCCGTGTTGTGTATTTTCGAGAAAAAGAAGAAGTGTTGTAAAGGGACGGCATTGCATCAACCAGTGAATGGATCAAAGCTTATGAATCATGTGCAGATGTTTTGTCAGACAAGGGGAATGATAATGAAAGATAAACTTGTTATCCAAAAAGACAACATCACCTGAAGTTAACTCTTGGATCTGTTTAGACAACATCTGTATGCACTGGTTTGTGTGTTTGCTTGCAGCTGTGACATGAAAGCTGCTCGGTACACAGTGTCTGTTTGTACTGATGGTGAACTTAAATCTATCTTCAAGTTTGACGCGTACTTCCAGCCAGTCTTTTTTTAATCATAACAGAAAGTAAAGTTTGTCTTGGATGAAGGCACAGCTTTTTTCTCTGAGTCTGTCAGTGTTGCCAGTGTTAATTAGTGTTCCCTGCACATGCAGTAGATGTACATAAGCCCATACTGTAGGTGGGCGGTGGTGAGATATAAAACTAGCAGCCAGTTGCCCCGCAGCAACTGATAATGAATGTAAATAGATGGAAATCCTCGAGTTTCAGTGTTTCTGAGAAAAATGGCTGTGAAGTTTTTAGTCGCCAGGTGGGAGAGGAGGAGGAGGAGGAGGAGCAGTAGAAGTAGAAGGTGGGTGGAACATATGTGTGCGTCTTTGCAGCAGATCCATATTTATGATGCCTGTGAGGGCTGTGCAGCGAGTGTCTCTCTCTGGTGTAACAGTGGGTCATTGTGTTGGTGGAACATTAGACCAACTGTTAAGCATTGCCGTTTTCCGCTGAGGGCGCTCTGCCTCTTTGTTTGTTGACGGACAGATGCGACCATGTCGGGTGTAAACGGGGACACCACGCACTGTTTAAACTTAGTTGTAGGAAAGTTTCCATCTGGTTTGATTTTGTTCTTCTTGGATTTTTTGGAACAGGCCGCCCCCTTCATGAAGTCAAAGGACACCATGCTTCCTGCATTCACACTTTGACCCTTAGTGAAGCTCGTTTTTTTTTATTTCTTTTGAATAAACTGTTGTGTTTAAAAATCTGCAAAGTCAGGGAGGAAAAGGAACACGTTCTAGTTCTAGATAATAAAGCTCAAACATCCACATAGAAAATAAAGATTTCAACTTATAAGAACATACATGAATGGCTTGTGTTTTATGTTTTGCATGCAGGGTGGATTTCTTTATCCCTGGCGTGGAGACGGTCGGAGGTTTCTCCATGTGCTCCGGTCCAGGTTTGCTACAGAGGGAGGGTGTTGTTGAACTGGCTGTCAAATACTCCAAACACCCTCCAGCCCACTGGATCCACACCGCGGTGAGTGGGACAGTCAGATATATATTACATACATACATTACATATTACTTTAGTTCAAGGGACATGCTAGATATGGACTTGTTGCTCACTAGAAAGCATATTTATTAGATTATTGTCATTTTATCAGTTATAAAAAGCACTCAACTTTAGCATCTTAAAGGACCAGAGAAAAGCATTTGAAGATTATTATTCAGGTACATCCTTATTTTCTCAAAGAGATGAACCAGTTTCAATTTATTTGGCCGTTTCCGATGTTTTTCTAGGTCTGACCTGCTGATACAGATTTTGGCCGATTGGCTGAAGAACCGGAAGAACCGGAATTGACAACAAAAGCAAACATTTTCTTGTAACTCCTGTTTGATGAAAATGTATTGTTAGGTCTACACCTGCAGAACATGTGTATGCAGAGTGGAGGGAGCGTGCAGATCATCTTCTAGTTAAGCAATCTTGGGTGGAGATCTTATAAAGACAAAATGCTGCATTGGTAACCATTATCTTAAATTTAGGATTATAACTTTCCCTCCGTTGTTGGTTAACTTCACCTCGTTTGAGGACATTTTTTCACGGGACAATCACTGTGTCTCTCACTGGCACTGCAGCTGTGAGTGATGCCTCCGTCAGGAGAGGTACACTTGCTTTCCAGACAAGTGGCACGTCTACTGCTGTGAACATGAATTGGCCTTTAAGTCTAGACGCTAAATACAAGACAATCCCACTTTTGTCTTGTGTTTGTTCGGGGAGAAAAACATGTGAACAAAGGCTGTTTCAGCACCATGCAGATAATCACTTTGTCTGGCATCTACCCCGTCATGTCTCTGATGTTTTATCATTATTCTAATTATATTTCTAGATCATATAGCGGCATCAGGAATACAATAATTCTGTTTCATAGCCGGTGAAGAACTCCTCAGAAGGAGGTTTGATAATATGGATGTTTACATTAAAGATGAAGAAAAAGAGCAGAAAGATTAGGATGGCAGGAAATGTTTGAAGTGGCCGAGGAAGTCTCACAAGGATAATTAAAGTTGTGTGACTCCATAATTAAGGGGTATTAATAGAAATATCAAAGGGTTTGAAGGAAACTGGTTTCAGTCTCTACACTCCTTATCTGATATTTCTTCATTCATACACATATGGAAAGATGTGATGTTCTAAGTGAATTAAATTGTAGGTTGTCTATGATGATGTGTTCCAAAAAGTGTGTGTGTGTGTGTTTTGTGTGTGTGTAGTTATTTGAATATGTACAATGTTTCCTTTCTGCTTACCTTTGCCTTCCATTTCTGTTCAGGCTGTGTTTGTTTGCAGCGTCTGTGTTTGATGATGGGCCCTAATAAATAGCTTTGAGCTAGAACGCCGTGTGTAAATAAGTATCAGAAAGCGCTGTGATGTGCTCCAGTGTTCAGACTCTTACAGCTCTCTGCTCTGGGATCGTTTGATGATGAGTGTGTTTGATATTTTGCGCTTTCGACTCCTCTCTGCGAGCAGGAATAGCACAGGGACCATGGCAGCAGATTAAGAGTGTGTGTTAGCATTGTTATTATGTGTGTGTGTGTGTGCTCACGTGTACAAAAAAAACACATAGAGGCATATTTACAGCTTCTTATGACTTCAAAAGACCTTCTCTGGCAAACTTGTGAAATCGCTTTCAGCCGCAGCACAGCAAAGGTTTGTTGTGTTTATGCGTGTGGATCTAAAAGTGGCTTTTTATTTTTCTTCTGTTTCCTGGGGCGGCAGCAAAGTTCAAGAGATGCTGTATTTTTCTGGGAATGTATTTCAAATTGTCGGAGGTGTATTTCAGCTGCAAAGAGACATTATGGAAATATGCCATCTTTTTTGTTGTTGTCCTTATCTCATCCCTCTCTCTTCCTCCCCTCAGTGTTCAGTCGGCTCTCAGGTGGCCATGCGTGTCGGTGGAGACTTCTTCTTCGACCCATTGCCCTCCGGCTCGGCTGTGGATCTGCTGCTGGTGGCAGGCGGTGTAGGGATCAACCCCTTGTACTCCATCCTGTTGCACACTTCAGATCTGCTGCATCTTAATCGAGCATCTGGTGGGCGGGACTACAACATAGGCTCCGCTCACCTCTGTTATAGCGCCAAGACCATGCAGGAACTGCTTTTTAAGGTGTGTTTTAGCACTATGAATGGAAAGTTGTGTTCTCCACTTGCTGCTGTAGGTGTATGATATATATACCACGTGTGCTGCAGTTTGCAGTCTGCAAAAAAATTATATAAAAAAAATATGACAGTCGACCGCTTTTGTTCCCAGAGCTCAATCGTCGAGGCGTGCCGGGAGTTCCCTGACAAGTTCTCCTGTGACTTCCACATCACGCAACAGAGCACAGATGTCGACCCGCACCTCCAGCCATTCCTCAACCGTAAGTAAAGCCCCTGCACACACACGCAAACCTTTACACACACACACTTTTATTTGTGTTGTTGGGGCAATTAATGAATTCTGATTTCATTCTCTCACCCACATATGCGACTAAGAAGTGCTTAAGCCGTGCAGTTAAGAATTTAGATTGATTGACTTCCCTCGTATCTCTTCAGGCGGAAGGATCACAGAGGAGGAGCTGCAGGCTCATGTGGACCCACAGAGGACTTTATGCTTCCTATGCGGGCCCCCGCCCATGATTGAAGCAATTTCAAAAACCCTCATGGACCTCGGCCTTCCGAAAGACAGAATCCTCTTCGAGAAGTGGTGGTAGAACTTCAGGGACCTGCTGGGGTTCCTCCTGACTGGGCTGGTACTCCTCCTTTTTTCAGCCTAAGACGGGGAATGTATGGAGATGGGATGAGAAGGAGAGCATTTGGAATGTTCAACTGATTTGGACATTATCGAGTGTTGGAAAGCTGGAGAAAATTCACCCTCCAATCGTTGCTGCTGCAGCCTGTGCCTGATCTGTGATACCCCGCTGGGACCGCCCACTCTGGATCCAGCAGCTGACTCACTCAAACAACAGAGATGAGTTGTGTTTCTTCAAATCTGAAAAGGACAACTGAACAGAATGTTGAAACAAAATCTACTTTGGCAACATGTTTATCAGCTCACGTCCTTGATGGATATAACAAGGACTGTGACAGACTCAATGTGACAGTTTGTAGCACATTTCCAAATCTCATCTCAGTTCTGGCCTTTACATGCTTTCCTGAGGATCTGATTAAATATCGTAGGTCTTGATCCATTTTAAATCACTGATTTACCGTTGCAAAAAATACACATGTTCACTTTCTGCTAAGAGTCAGATAGTAAGTCTAATATCATACGTGTCAATACTAGCTTAGTTTAAAGACAGGAAAGAGGGGGACGCTATCAAGCTCCACCCAAAGGTGATACAATCCACATTCAACCAACTTCCAGGGAGTGAAGAAATACTCCTGCATATTTACCCATCATGAACGTGAAGTGTTTTTACTCTTTAGATTTTGCTGTGGGGAAATAAGATTGAACTGATTAAATAGTAAGCTTTAAGGTGGATATTGTAACATTAGAAAGGAAGAACTCGCTGCTCTTATTAGTTCTAACCAGCTTCTGGCTTTAACCTCATATTTTGTGGCCAGATGTGAGTGTGCCATTGATCGTTCTATTTTACTCTTAGCTAGTGAAGATGTGTATTTTTGAGAACGTTAACTTCCGGTACTGCTTCAATGTCCTTAGATGATAGATGATCAGGGTAAACAATAGCAGTCTACTGTTTTTTTTATTTCATTTTCTTCAGTCAAATACCTCAAAACATTTGTTAAATTTTTTAGAGATGTTTTACTATGTGTATGTATGCCTAATGAAATGACTTATATTTAATTGCAGAGCTGAAGATTTTAAGCTGTTTGACTGAGTTACTTTGAAGCAAATGCTTCACATTTTATTCGCATGCAAACTTCACACCAAGTGTATTTTTAGAGTCAGAACTACACAAACATTCTCCCACATATTGGCCAGTTTTAGTCACTCTCACACTATTACATGCATACGGCGCCTATCTCGCACACACTTCAACTCCATCACACACATCCACATACGAATAAACATGGGGACGTGAGTATCCCATGGTGTACTGTAATGGAACCTCCAGGTGGTCTCTGATTGGCTCGGATCACTGAACATCCCTCTGAGATGGTAGCGAGCTTCTTGTTGTCGTCTCTCGGTGGGGGGTGGGGGGGGTCGCGCTCTTGAGACTCATTTTCGAGTTGTTTCTGTATTTCTTCCTCATGAGGAAATAAAAGAAAATTGAGTCAATCTGTTTCAATCATTTTATTGACCTCTGCTTTTATACAAAGACTCACATGTCACACTACTTACACACCTGATCTGGTCCAGGAAATCAGTAATGAATAGCTCATTTCTAAAATACACATTTTCTGAAGAGAAAAACCCTTTTAACAGGCGAGTGCCAAATCACAAAACACATTTTAACATTCCTCCTGAAGAATCTTCGACCACCTGATAACGTGTGTGGACATAGTTTGACATTACCACGTTGGCAGACTCGTCGGAAAAGTATTTCACAACAACAAAATCCCTTGTAACACTGTCAGCCTCATGTTCTGCATTCTGTCTGAAGTAATGTCTCTTGAATAGTAACCAAATATAATTCAACAATACAAACATAATGCTGAATCTCTTGACCACATTATATTCAAAATTCCTGTTTTCAATGTTTCACCGGTAACAGTTGCCAAAAAAATAAATTCAGGTTGAAGCTTGTATTCGTTCACTGTGAGCACAGAGCTGTTTTTATTTTTGGGTGACGGAAAGGGATGGCAGCAGCTCAGTCCGTTGTTCTGGTAGCTTCAGAGTACTGCTGAGGTGCCCTTGAGCAAGGCCCCAAACCACTCAGGTGTGCTGTGTGTAGCAGCCCCAGTCTGACTTTTCTCCTTTAATGCATGTCCACAGGTCCTGTTTGTGCATGTGTGTGAGAAGCATGTCTCTTAAATAACCAGAGTGTAAACCAGAATTTCCCTCAGGGATTGATAAAGTATACACAATTCAAATTAAAAAAATACATGTTTGCAAATAAAAAGTTAAACTCCCGCACACTAACTTGCAAACGCACATTTATTGGCAACGTTTTGGTACTAGACCTTCTTCGTCTTTGCCTGATAAAGGACTAGTATAGAAACGTTGCCAATAAATACATATATTTAAAAGTGAGACAGTGTGCAGGAGTTTACCTCTAACTTTTCGATGGACACATTGCTCTCCTATGCACCTGTCTTGTAGAATGGATGTGCAATTTATTTTTCTATTACAAATAAAAAATAAAAATAAATGGAGAGGGGGGGGAACACCTTATAAGAACATCAGAAGTAATTTTTATAACGTTCTGATAATAATATTAATAAAAGGGCTGTATTTTACCTCTTTTTTGACCATCCAAACTTTCAGTTCTTATATATACATTTCAAAGAAGGTATACTAATGAAAAAGTTTGAAAACCACAATTTACTTTAGCCAGGACTTTGCTTTTGAAAAGACGTATGGAACGACCGAAACAACCTCAACTCCTACAATCATTGTTCCTAGAATCAACTCCAAGCCTCTAAGGATGAGCAGTGGATGGATGCATGGATGTATAAAAGATTAAAAATATGTCAGAGATTGACATCTTATTACCTGCCTTAATCAAAACTATAAATGAACCTTAAAGCTGTAGGCACAGAAAAGTGTATCGTCAAATATCTGTATGGTCAGACGTGCATCTGTACATTTTCTCTACGTTGTTATTTTATCATATCTGGTCGTTTTCTCCACATCTCGGCTTAATTATCTCATTACCTCAAGCCACAACGACAATGGTCTCTGTGCCGTGCAGCCATTACCCACGCTAATGATGTAAATGAAATACTTGGGATACCACATTAAACAAGATCTTGAGAAAACAACCAGAAATGATTTCTTATCACAGGAAAATTAAGTCAATTGATGAGTTGTGTGGATGGATGGATGTCTGCTTAGTGCTTCCTTAGCTTGCTTCAAAACTTGTTTTTATATTTGACACTTTAGGATATCATTTCTACATGAAAGTTTCTTGAAAACGTCCAAAACTTAAGTTGATCCTGATGTACAAATCTGTCAGAAGCTATTACAACACTGCAGATGAATCAGTCAGTCCCTACAGATTTATCCCTGTCTTGTTTCTAGCTTAAATAACATACTTTATATATAAAAATACAGCAAGCCCAGTGATGTCAGTACTCCCCTTTTAACAGTCATATCCAAAGAAAGTACTAAAATACAGCTAAGGGAAATAATACTTAAGGCTTTAACAGCAGACTTGCTCAGAGGTTGTACTCTTATAGCCTTGCAGAGTTTCATTTCACAGAGAAATCACAGAGAAACACTGAGCCACAGCAGAGAACTGACCGACACTTTCCCCATTCATGGGAGCTACAACCTCAGAGGCTAGCAAGAGTGAAGCAGTAACTGTACACGGTGAGTTACAGTATGGCTGTCCACAGAGGAACTTTAAAACTAGAGCAACAAAAAAAAAAAAGTTTTCAAAAGGCCTTTTTTGCCAAACTAAACAGTTTCAGCTCCTCTTTTTCAGTTTCTTTCCCCGATGTGTCAACACACGCCTGAAAACAGCTGCATTTTGATCCTCTCCTCCGTCTTCCCCTCCTCTTTGACCCCTCCTACATCCATCTTATACACATCTGTCCATCTCACAGACTTCTCCTCAGTGGACTGCAGGATCTCGTCGATGTCGGTTTCCTCATCCTGCTCTTCGACATAAACCCTGCTTCCTGGCAGGAAGGAGAGTCGTCTTTGATACTGCTCCTCCTCCTCCTCCTCCTCCTCCTCTTCCTCCTCGCTCTCCTCTCCACCTCTCTGAATGCTGTCCCTTCTCTTCCTCCTCTTTGCCTCTTCCCCCTCATCTGCTGTGTTTCTTCTCCACCTGTCCATCTCCGTCTCCATCACAGGGGACCTGTCCTCTCTCTCCTCCTCAGGTTCTCCAGTAGATTTCTTCTTCGCCTTGCTGCGCCCCCTGAGGTTCAGCATCTGAAACCAAAGCGATGAGTTTGAGACAGTTTTACACTTTGTGTTTCTTTTTCTTTCCATCTCTCCAGACACCTGACAAATCACAACAAAGCATCTTTCATTGACGCCTCTTTCCTGTAGTTTCAGGTCGGCTACCTGCCTATTATTAGACTTCTCCTGAGTGGCTTTATATTTGCTGTACATCCCATATTTAGTAACATGACTTTTTAATGACATATGCTCGCGTATCCTAAAGGCACAACAGAGACGAGTGACAGATCCACAGTGAAGATTGAAGACGAAGGGGAACAAACCTTGAAGTCTTTTCTCTTGCGCTGCAAAACGGGTCTCTGAAGGAAGAGGATCTGCTTTGTCGACAAACTCCCGTCACTACAGAAAGGATGGAAAAAAAAAAAAAAAGCAGCACTTTTGCTACTGTTACCTGTTATGTTATATTCTGAGGAGCTGGCACATTTCTATGTACATCTAAATCCAGCTTCTTTGTGGTTTCTACAAAGTGACAGGTTACAAGACTACAGCACAGCAGCTACTGTGTTTTTTTGTTCGCAGCTCCGACAGATATCAAAGGGGTTTCATGTTGAGATGAGCATATGATCATGATTTGTCAGATCTCAAGCCATCTGTCCCATGTATCTAAAGCTGCTGTGTAGGCTCTAATTCCAAAGACAATGAGACAGACAATGGGATCGGTCCTCGCTGATTCTAGAATGGTATTCAGGGGAGGGAGTATAAAGAAAATGCAGATGACAGGTTTACTCTGGCTAAACGAATGATAACTTAAATGTAACCTTAAATCTCTTTTTTTACAATTAATCAAGGATTTCTTTTAGTCTATAAAATGTCTCAAAGTTGTTCAAATGCTTTTGCTGATTGTCTGCAACCAAGGGGTGGATCCGGAGGGTAGCCTGGGCCCCTTTGGAATCTGATAATTCACCCCCGCAGAACCCTTAACTATTATTAGAAACATAGACAGACACTTTGTTGATCCCGAGGGATATTCAGGGATTAGTTGGGTTTTTTTTGTCAGAGGTGATACTTGTATTAATGACAACTATTCTGGCTGTTTCAACAGGCTGCTAGAAGCTTTCCTTTGCAATTCAATCTAGCACATTTCCTTTTGTTCGGGCTTTAAATTGTGACTTTGGACATACATCTTCTTTTTGAGTCCTTAAGAAATGTATTTGTGGGGCGCTGGTGGCTTAGTGGTTGGTGTGCACGCCCATGTACGGAGGCTGTGGTCCTCAAAGCGGGCGGCCCGGGTTTCGAATCCGACCTGTGGCTCCTTTCATGTAACTCTCTCTCTCCCCCCGATTTCTGACTCACCACTGTCCTATCTCTACAATAAAAGCACAGAAAGCCCCAAAATAAATCTTAAAAAAAAAATAATGCCACACCTGCAGAAGTCATTGACCCCGTTTGACCCATTAAAAAGAGGCATAGTTAGCCCTTGTCGCAGCCCAAAGTTATGTCAAACAGTTCAGAACTCAAAAACATTCTTTAATTAACGACTAAAATCTGCTAAGAAGCTGTAACTTTGCTACATGATAACAAAATCGATTCTTAATTGTTTGTTTTGGTTCATTAATTCATCTTTGAAGTTCTTGTCAGCAGGAATGTGAGCTTATGGTTCGAACTCTCCGGATGTAGTTGCTACCTGTTTGTCTTGACAATTGGCGTAGGTAACACACACATCAGCCTCCATCCGTACGGAGCCAGAGACTGTAGCAAAGGGATGTAGTCTGTCTTCACCACAACACCCTTAACAAGAAAGACAGATGGACAGATAGAGAGCAAAATCACACACACA